AAAAAAGAGGGAGCCTTCTGATTAACATCCGACCTATGCCTTGATTTATGTGTATCCGCTCCGGTAAACACTAAGTCAGCTTTCCTCATTCAAAAGGTGAGAACAGAACAACTACTGTGAGTAAATATCAGAATTTTACCTTATGGGTGTCAGGCAGAACCACAGAATGATACCTGATGTTCCTGTCTTTCAGACCGCTGAGCGTAGATGGGATAGTGACTCGAACCGTAGCTACTTTGCTGGTGCAAGAATCAAAATGGGGTAGAATCTCGGTCAAATCATACGAAACTTTCACTTTTTTCGAATACACAAGCTTCCAACAAAAAAGTTTACACTGTCAATTTTGGTGTTGAAGTGTTGTGGTGGTAAAAAACGCACTATCACCCATAAACCGAGGTCGACTTCCAGATTAATACTCGCTCAAACTATCACAACCCTCCGTACCAGAGAAATCTGGGAGGACAAAGGTTCCAGGCCACGTAAGTCATTGTACGGATAAGTCACAAACGCATTTGAAATATAACTACAGTTTTGGATGGAATTCGAATGCGAAGCGCATTCCAAAACGAGATTATAACTTCAAAATCTTTATTCTACCACCATTTTTATGCTTTTGGCCATATTTCAACTTTTCCGTCACAGAATTCGTTGCATTCTGAAGGCCTCCATACAATTTCAGAGAACCGTTTGCAAACCAGAATCAAACTGGCTATAGCACTTCTGACTCACGCATTATGGTAATACTTCAGTTATGCGCTTACTGCTACTGGTACTCATTGCTATCATGACAACAAACGGTCTGATATAAGAGCCTCACCGATTGGAACCAGCAGTTATCAACAGTTATGTCTACTTATGGGATGATACTGCTNCTTCTGACTCACGCATTATGGTAATACTTCAGTTATGCGCTTACTGCTACTGGTACTCATTGCTACCATGACAACAAACGGTCTGATATAAGAGCCTTACCGATTGGAACCAGCAGTTATCAAAAGTTATGTCTACTTATGGGATGATACTGCTCGTAAGCCCTCTTTTCTGACAGAAAACCGTCCCTGGACCATCTCTGTATAATTCAGGTTATCTCCACCTCTTTTGGTTGGATCAAAGGACAAGGCAAGTTGTTCTATTGTAATTTCTGTGAGTCAAATAGAAGACCTGTGTATAGATTGTTGCACAAATCTATAATATTACATTTCTTTTTGATAATCAGTTTAATTGATAAGAGAAAATGATCGCAGTAAATAACGAGTGATAAATAATTGTAGTAATCAGTAATAAAAAAAGCATCAGTGATAACAATGATAAAGGCTCTCAGGGGATCGTGATATGCACTGATATAGGGATAGCAAAAGACTTTTTTAATGAAAGCCGCAATAACAGTTTCCACCGCAACTAACTAAGATAGAAAGTTAACGTTGCGTAATCTTTACCGATCATTGGACCATCATTTTGGATTGATTTCAGTAGCGAATTGTGATAGTAGGCAGTTGGATCAGTCAGTACGACAGCGATTGTTCGAAAAGCACAATCTACTCAGGTGGGAACTTTGATCCGAAGCAAGGTGTATGATGGGAAATATGCAGCTTCTAATCAGTTCGAGTTGCAGGGGAAGTCTAGCGAGAGGACAGACGGAAGCTAATGGGAATTATGGCATTGCACCACCAGCGGCCAACATGCATAGGATGGTAAGAAATCTAACCTCAACTCCATTTCCTACACCATTTCTTTATATTTGGGTAAGAAGATGAGACGAAAACTGTCATATCGTGACCTCAATGGAGACGTTTCAGCGGAACATAAAAATGAAACCAAGAACGAATATGAGTACTTCGACTCGCCACGTTAGACAAGATATTTCCTTAGATAAACACCCATTTCAGCAGAAGTGCCGATAATGGGGACGTTGTTGAAGGGTTTCTGGCTTGTTCTTGGTGCGCAGAATCACGGATTCCCTAGTCTATTTCTCCCTACTTTCCTTTCCTTAAAGGTCCTCTAGTAGACCTTCTTATGACCTTGAGTTATTGCAGAGATATAGCTGTGATGCAGAATCGTACGCCCAACAGCATGCCAATACTTGCAATGAGATGGTACTTCCGCAAGATGCACGTCCAGGATACAAAGAAAACATCTACAGTTTTAGAGGAACCGGCGGTCAGGCGGATGCTGCCGAAGCTGTGAGTTTGATTACTATTTTTTACCTAGTTGAGCAACAGTCTTTGAAAGGATTGAAAAGAACTTTTTTCATAGCCTGCTCATGTACCTACTTACCCAAATTCTTCATAAAAGTGAGTGAGAAATAGTGGAAAAATGAGTTGGAGATATAGACTCTCGAACCTTATTTCCAAGCTGACTCTTCGAAGGTGGTCATCTCGTTCTCATACACCCCTCTCCTTGGCCATGCATCTATGCCGTCACAGATAGAATAACTTTTACGATGACTCTATGAATACGAGAACATCCATCTGATTGTATACGACCTAAGCATTTTCCTCGCAACAGAATACTGCCCAATCACTCTAGATATTCAGTGGTTTTCAGTAACCAAGGGTCAAGTGACTTACTACCACACCGGCATAGTCGGCCGTTCAAATTCCGGATCGATGCTCGCTCAAGTCAACCAACCTTTCCTACCCTCGGGATCGGTTTAAAGTCGAAAGCGGGGATTATCGAAAAAAGGTTCATACTCGGCGATTTAAAAGGGGGTATCAAAAATAATATAGGACAGCAAAAAAACTGAGCTCAAAAGGGTTTTGCACGGGCGTTTCTGAGCCGAATTAAAAAAATACCAAACAAACACGATCCATCAGACGAACAATTGAGGCTACAAATGCATGGTGGAGCCAGCTTGCTAGGAATGGCATGAGAACGGATATGTCGTTCACGAACGATGTTCAATCTGACCAAACTGCAGCAGTGGCACAATGGGCAAAGGTAAGCTACGAATAATAAAACTGAAGTGGTCTGCTCCAGCGGAATCAAAGCAAAAGCTGATTTGTGGAAGATCCTGGCCACTCAATAAGCTACATTTCCAGATGGCATGGTGGAACAACCAAATAGTTGGTTGTGCCATACGTCAATGTAGCGGATTTATGTTCGTGGTTTGCATGTATCGTCCAGGGTGAGTCCCCCCTCTATAAAACTTAACTAGAAATATCAAAAAAGGAATCTTACAGAGGCGACAACATAGGAGAACGAGTTTACAACGTTGGAGCGGTGTGTTCACAATGCCCAGGTCAATGCGTTGAAGGACTCTGCCTCTAACGATGATCTTTTTTTTTTCAAAGATAGGTCAATAAAGTCTTAAAAACGAGTGTGAAATATTTCTAAGTCATTCGAGAGGAACAGCTTGCATTGTAATATCAATTAAGTTTGAAAGAGAATGGGCATCCTTTGAAGAACGATTAAACTACGAGTATTCATTCAATTTTCGGCCATAAATTATGTGGAAGTAAGTCAACGTCAATTCATCAGCACATAGCTGCAAAACTAAAATTTAACAAACGGGATCAGAATCTCTCTCCTCTCCCTCCGCTAAAAAAATCTAGAAAGGCAGTTCACATATTTGATGACTTCGGTTATCTAACATGATGGCACTAACTTTCAGAGCAGCTCAGATAAAAAACCAGAGAAAAAAACAGGTTTTTTTGACGAAACTAGATTTATTAGACGACGTATTTCCAAGTATTTATCATAATCGATCTCTTCTCTGGAATGCGCCTCCGCATCCGACTTCCTTCCGGATTGAAGAAGCATATTGAATGCGTGTTTGGCCCATACAATAACATGCGCTGGCCGGCTGATGTTCAAGTCAGTGCTTTTATCCTCCCACACGAGTTGATAGGGAGCCTTCAAAGGCAAAAGCTGTAGGATCCGTTACCCCCTTGGTATAACGGTGTAAGCCTGACACTTAAGTAGGGGTTTGTGTTAAGAAGGCACCATAGGTGTTTGATCACAGGGATTAATAAAATCAATAAAGACTGATATTTAGCTACAGAAGGGAAGAGTCACTAGGTTTGTAATGCGCTCCTTATTGACAATGGGGGTTCGACAACTACTGTCAATACGAAGCGCAGGGGATGTTAGGGGGTGTGGGATGGTAATAGGCCTTAAGTGGATGGTAGCAAGAACTGAAAACAAGCGAAAAGGACTGGCCAAGAGCCACGGAAGGCTAGTGCCATTAGGTGTATAGCGCCCTCCGCACTAACAGGGGGACCTTGGCATTCAACTGGTGAACTGGGATGTGACGTATTCCTAGGTACTCTGGTCTGTTTTCACGGGACGACTCCAAATGAATACAACTTCCATGCTGTGGCCCTCAGAGTAATTGAAAAGTTTCGGTGGTTTCTTTCAGTGTAGCCGACTCAGCGCAACCGACTGAACCTCAAGTTCCATAACGTCCATCAGATGTTATTCCAAGTTTTTAAGCAATAGTTCCTCCTTCAGACAAATTTCTAATTCCGAAAAAACCTGATTAGTGTGAGGACACCCGCCCTATGTCTTGATTTTTGTGTGGGGCTGCTCCGCCAACCACTAAGTCGGCCTTGCTCAATGTAAGATGAAAATAGAACAAAAACTTTGTCCAAACATCGACTATCAACCCCGTGGGCTTCATTGAGGATCGAACGATACCTACTGCTATCTTCAGTCTCTCAGAGCTCTGGAGCCAAGATAGTACAGTGAAAAGTATTGTAGCTATCCATTTGTTGGTATGAGAATTCAGACGGGGGTTGAATCTTAGCTAACCAGAACTCTCACCCTTTCCGGTTGGACCACCTTTCAACAAAAAAATTCAAAGCGTTGACTTGGGAACTGAGCTCAATTTAGGAAAAGTAAAATGAAGGACAGGGATTGCTGCTAGTATAAAGGATGTGCACCGCAAGCCATTGTATAGGCCACAAATGCATTCGAAGCGTCTCAACGATTCTGAATGGAAGTCAAATCGATGGCGAATCCCATAATGAGACCAATGTCAAAAAACATCATGCTGCCATAATTTTCATGCTTTTGACCGTTTTTGTGTTATTCTGTTAGAACCCGTTGCATTCCGAAGACCTCTATACAATTCCAGTGAGCAGTATGCAACCATAACCAAACTGGCTATAGCACTTCCCATTCACGAATTATGGTAATACTTCAGTTATGCGCTTACTGCTATCGTACTCACATCATAATAACAAAATGTTTGTTATAAAAGTACTACCGATCGCAACTCATCACCGGTAGTCATGTCTACTTCATGGACGATACTACTTGTAAGTCCCGTTTTCCTAACAGAACCTATCACTGAATTACCATTCTATTATTTAGGTTCTCTTCTCTCTTTTTGTCAACAGCAAAGGTCAAGGTTAGAGGTTTTACAACAATTTCTATGAATCGGGTAAAAGGCTTTTGTAAATTTAGATAGATATGAAGTTCTATTACATTCTTTTAGTGATCGGGGGTATTGGTATAAAGAAGTGATAACAGTGAATAATGAATGATAAACAATCGTAGTAGGCTGTACAAATTCCAATAACAGCCGTGATTATAATGAAGGTTCTTGATGAGGCTGTGATACGTGTGGTATTGTGGTTTCAAGGAATTAATATGCAGCGGGAACCACCAGGAATTCCTACTACAACCACCAGAGATAATAACTTAACATTTAGTGATATTCAGCCCATGAGACAATCATTTGAAAAAAGTTTCAGAAGCGTACTGTGACAGTAGGCAGCTGGATCAGTCAGTACGGCAGAGATTGTTTGAGAAACATAATTTACTCAGGTGCGAGCTTTGTTGCAAACCAATCGAATTCCGGAAAAGTGGGCGATGAGGAATAGCTCCTAATCTGCTCAAGTTGCAGGGGAAGTCTAGCGAGAGGACAGACGGAAGCTAATGGGAATTATGGCATCGCACCACCTGCTGCCAACATGTATCGCATGGTAAATACTCAATTCTTGAGCTTATTTTAACTAGACCTGGGTAAGACTTATAGATAGGTTTCGGAGTAAAGAAAGGAAGAAAAGGCAAAAAGAACGAATACCTTTGCTTTTGCTTTTCAAGTGTTTGCTAGATCAGTAATTCTCAAATATACCAGTATGCAATGCTCTCCTATCTGATCAAGTAGACTTTTAGGGGTTTCTGGCTTGTCTTCTGCGCACAAATCTACTTCCCTACTTCCCTTCCATCACAGTTTCCCAAGTGAAATTTATATCACCGTGAATCATTGCAGAGATATAGCTGTGATGCTGAATCGTATGCCCAACAGCATGCTAACACGTGCAATGAGGTGGTACTGCCACCAGATGCACGTCCAGGATACAAGGAAAACATGTACAGTTTTAGAGGAACCGGGGGTCAGGCGGATGCTGCTGAAGCTGTGAGTTTGACCACAGATCTTAACCCATATTTGAGCAAAAGTCTTCAGAGGAATCAAAAGAATACCTTTCCGTATTCTGTTCATGTATTTATTCGTCCTAACTCTTCATAAAAGAATAAAGGATAAAGCTTTTGACGTTAATCAATCCCGTCTGAGGGATGCGCCCCCGCACTCGACCTTCCATTCAGAATCGTAGTGGCGTAATGAGTGCGTATGTGGCCTATACAATGACTTGCGGTGGCCAGCCGATGTACAAGTCAGTGCTTTCATCCTCCCAGACGAGTCTGGTACCAATTCGCCGACCCCGGAGGGATGGAACGCTTGGTTGGCCTAGGCGGGCATCGATCCGGGATTCGAACCCCTGACCGTGCGTGTGATATAGTGCGCCACTTGCCACTACACCACCTCCGCCCTAACTCTTCATAAAAATGAGTGGGAAATAGTGGAAAGATGACTTGGAGAATTAATTCAGAGGCAGTGGGAGTCAGGCTGATGCTGCGGAAGCTGAGAGTTTGATCGTCGATCGAAAGATTTGAACGTAGATGAGCGAAAGTCTCGAGTAGGGACGGTTCTCTGTTCATATCCCGTCCGATTACTTATTTGTCTTAATTTTTCCAAAACACCCGTCTCTAGAGAGGTACCCTTTTTTATAGTAAGGTTAAAGTGCAATCAGCTGGATTATAAGCTAGTTTTCTCGAAGCAACAATGAGTTTCAGACAAGTAAAACACAAACCTTTTTTCGAAGCCAGCTTGCGAAAGTGGTCGTTCCTCTTTGTACAGCTCCCTGTTCTGCCGTTCACCATCTAGCTAAAGAACACCTTATTCAAAGGATTGGTCGATCTGGTTGAATACGACACAGCGACTTCTTTACTTCTAGAAAGAATTGCTTAATTTTTTGGGATATCTAACAACTATCACTAAGAAGAGGAAAATACGTAAAGCCCATAACTTTGCTATACAATTCAGCACCTTTGCCAGTAGTTATTGTGGGGCCCGACGTATTTCGAAAAATCCGCGATAGTGGCCATTTTTGGGTGAGTGCTGAACTGGGAAGCTGAACATGAGAAGGCTTTTTTTGGCAGTTTTTCTGCCGTTGTACTTACATAGCCACTCTGAATGGAATCATATTAAACAAACACAAATCACACGAAAATTAAGGCCACGAACGACTGGTGGAGCCAGCTTGCGAGGCATGGCATGAGAACGGATATGTTGTTCACGAGCGATGTTCGATATCGACAAACCGAAAGGGTAACAAAGTGGGCAAAGGTAAGCTACGAAATACGAAGCTGAAGTAGTTTGCTCAAGAAGGATCAAAGCAAAAGCTGATTTGTGAAAGCCAACTAATAAGTTACATTTTCAGATGGCATGGTGGAACAATCTTCTAGTTGGGTGCGCCATAAATCAATGTAACGGATTTATGTTCGTGGTCTGCATGTATCGTCCAGGGTGAGTCCCTCCGACCTACAAAATTGCCAGAAATGCCAAAAATAATCTTACAGAGGCAACAACATTGGAGAGCGAGTGTACAACGTAGGAGCGGTGTGTTCACAATGCTCAGGTCAATGCGTTGAAGGACTCTGCCTCTAACGATAATTGATTTTTCCTAAGAATAGATCAATAAAGTTTCCAAATGATCATGAAGTATTGGGGCCTCGTTCATGGCCAACAATTTGCATTGTAACATCGAGAAGCTTAGGTCATTCTTAAATTTAACCAAAGATTTTCACCCAACCCCTCTTATTTATAAAGCATTAATTTGGTGTGTTGGTTTGTCGGTATGTCGGTCTGTCTATCTGCGGCAGTAACTGAAATCAGTACTTGGGGGTAGGATAATGGAGCAGAGTGATTGAGTGGAGCAATAAATGTGAGGTAAAGGTGAAGTAGGTGCTTCAGAAGTGTAATTTCGATCTGCATGGCATCTTGTTATGTATGTCTATACAAAAACCGGAGGTGATAATGTAGTTAGGAGACCGCCGTTTTTTTTTAAACTTTGAGCGCTCGAGATGAGGAAGTCGGCCCATAATTGTGCTCAGGAACGTTTCTGAGCCAGGAACTTACAGTTTTTTGACTTGTGTTTCAGGAGGAGCAGCGAGGTGGGCGAGTCAATTGAATATTCAACTCACACCCCATTCTATAATAGTTTTTGCACGAGGTAATCATCCCACCCCCTTCCCAACGCTTCTAACGGTATGAACTATATTCTTTCGCCTACACTCAAGCCCTCAGGTCAGTGTTGAATAAAAGCGATACTGCCCCTCCCCCTTCTCCCTTGATGAAGAAAATAAGGCATGGCGTAAGCCGGGTGGTGCAGATAAGCCATGGTAAACATTCAGATGAAAACTTCTAACACATTTGATACGTTGCACACAGATTCAAGTTATTAGTAGGACGCCTAGACAATTCAAATGCGGTTCCAATTTTGGCCTAAGAGTGACCTCACATTAGCTAGGCACACTCGTGCGGGGGTTTAGCACTCCTTTCTTTGACAACTTTTATTAACACAGATAACTTGTAAATTATTAGGTTAAAGGAGCAACAGGTTTCTTATGAGTGAATCTTCAATGAGCGGTAGAAACAAGCAGACTGACTAAAAAATTATGCTGATCGGAAACAGGGTTGGAAAAGGAAAGAGAAAGATTTTGAGGTATTCTAGAAGTAGCGTTGAGACTTGGGACAAGCACCAATTGGTAATATAACACAATGGAACAATTCAACTCATATGGAATGATTTGCATTTTGAGAAAACAGTCAAAATCGAAATAAATGCTTATTAATTTTGCAAATGTAGACATCTGCCCTAATTGCATAGCCCTTCGTAACACGTGGTCGGACATTCAGCACACACAGGTCCTATATTGTAGACCTTGCGGCCGACATCGTTGCCTCTGAAAAATCGAAATCGTTACAAAAAATCCTGCAATTTTGATATTCTCTGTTAACAAATTTCAATATTTCTGGAAATTAGTAATGAGTGATTCACCCTGGACGATACATGCAGACTACGAGGTAGTACTTTCCACAATGTTTCATTCCACATCCGACGAGGTTGTTGTTCCACCAAGCCATCTGAAAGTTCGATTTGACTATAATCAGTTCGTCATTTTCGTTGAATAGCCAAAACACGAGACCTAATAGAGTCACCATGGGATCGAACATCCCACGATACCCACGGTGAATTTAACCCTCCATGGGTCCAATGTTTGTAAAGAGGCCTGAGAGCAGGAAAATGAAAGAGAATGACACCCTTCATCCGTGATCCACCCGAGCTGGTGAATACCCATTCGAAGTAGGCATCGCTCAGTCCGGCATCGGGACACTGGGAAGGTCCTGGTGGAAATTGGGTACAAGGTTCAAAAGTTCCACAACTCTTGCGATTACCCTGGTTTTTTCCACTTACGAAGTTGTTTTAAAAGACACTATAAAAAGATTGGCCCACCTTCGCCCACTTCGTTACTCTCCGAGTTTCTCGAGTGCGAACCGCTTGTGTGAACAGCATATCCGTCCTCATACCATATACCGCTAATTCACTCCACCAATCTGCCATTGCCTTAAAGTTCAGGTGTTTTGACCGAGTTTGAAATTCTTAAGCATTTATGAGTAAAATCTCAGAGACGTGTTTTGAAAATTCGTGCTATAACAGTGAGTAGCGTCCGTCCCAAATTCTACATTGTAGGATCAGATTTTGTTGTCTATCGTTCAATAGCCCCCTATCAAAAAAGTTACCAAAGCGGTAGAGAAGATCGAGAATGTAGAAACTGATCTTTAGAAAACATCAGCTTTCTCACCTCTGATTGTAAGTGAAGTAGATTATTCGGAAGCTAAAGAACAGGAAGTCAACTTACAGCAAGTCCAGCTGCTGCAGGGGTTGCGCGTGGATTTCTGTAGACAAAAGTGTTCTCCTTGTATCCTGGACGTGCATATGGCGGCTGTACGGTCCTATTGCAACTGTTGGCATGTTGTTGTGCATAAGTTTCAGCATCGCAGCTGTATCTCTGTAAGACTTCACGTAACAACTGAAAATTACAAAGTAACTGTGAAGGGCATGTCGCTCGTCTGAACGACGACCGTTGGACGTCCAGGGTGACCAATTTTAAGCAGAAAGACCGCGAGGAAGGCTCCCTGCCAGATGGAGTGATCCTTTTAGAAACCGAAATGAGTGGCATAGATGCCTCCTGCAAGGTTGGCAAAACCACCCTTGAAGAGCGGGCATCGAGGTGTTCAACAGTAAAGGGATTTGATTAACCAAAATGAAGCGGTCACTTCAAAATATAAGCGAATAAAGGTCGATCGGTCTGCACAAGCAATGAGTTTGAATCGGATTCTCAAAGAAGTGAGATTAATTTTTTAATCTTCGTAAGCAGAAGAATTCCACCATAAGGAAAACAAAAAACATCATGGAAATAAAAAAATAAAACTTTATTGATGAGATCGAAATTGAAATTTTCTTTGGATTGAAGATCCTCGTTGCCTGAAACGTGTGGGCGGAAACACCTGAAGTCTGGTAACCACGCCTACCCTCCACTCACGTCTTTTTTTCCATGGCGGACATTTCCCTTGTTTTTGGACAAAGCGAATCAAGACGTTTCCACTAGTCGCTGTCCGTGGAATGCATAGATGCACGCCCAAGCCCATAAATAATCTATTTCCCCAAATTAAATTCTTCTCTAGAAATAGTAATCGATTACCATGCGATACATATTAGTCGCTGGAGGTGCAATGCTGTGATAGTTGCCGGCTCTTGGATGCTGTCGGATGTTCTGTATGAGAGTACGATTCCCATTGGATTCGGTCTCTCCTCTGGCTAAGCTGCTTCTGAAACTTGAAACCTACTCCATGGCATTTTTGAAATGTTAAATTTTGGGTAACCTGCGCTGATTGTGTCCATCAAGGAATTGTTCCCTCATTCGATTATCAAGCTGCGGATTTTCACAATTCGGTCCTCAAATATAAACAAAGGATGAACCAATATTTCCACACAAAGATGTGAAGTAAACCTAACAAGATGCAAAAATATTCAGAAGCGAAAACTCACTGTCGAAGACTGGTGTATTTGAGGGGGTGACTGAAAGAAGAACAGTTAGTGAAGAGCCAAAGAAATCGAGTGCCCTTAGCTATTCAGAGAATCAGCTAAAGCTTGCAATGAGTACCCTAGATTCATTTGTGTTCTCCATTGGTGAATTCCTCGTATTCTACGTTCAAAGAGATACCAGGGAGCTGTGGGAAGCGTAATGTTCTCGAGCAGCTTCGCTCACACCCTCGTTCTATCTTCTGCCTTCACATCGTTTGAAGGGTAGAGAGAGCTGTTTGTGGGAATAAGAAATAAATTTGATCTGAGTCTATAAGGACGCGTTTGAGAGGGTAGGGTAAGGTGACAGTGGATTTAACATCTGTAGCCGTCAAATATCGAGGATAGAGACTGGGCGGCTGGGTGGTTTTGAAGATTATATTGAAGGAAGAAAAGCTCATCTAGATGAACTTGATGACTAAATGGTTTTCAACGGCCATTTCTGCACGTTGTTCGCTCCATTTGAGTACCTCACAGATCTAAGTACGACAGGGCTTGTTAAGACTATACCAAGTAGCTCTAAGCTATTCAAAGCTTTTGGGGGACTGAAAAAATTGCTGACTCACTTTGACTTCCAGCCGCATCGAAAAGTGTGAAAATGACCTGAAATTAGAAGTTTATTCAATAACAAAACAAGTTGCAAAGTAAGTACAAATTTTTGCCGGTGCCTGAGAGATTCATAACTTTTTCATAATAGAGGCCAATTTCACTGATAGAAGAGGGCTACGATAGAAAACTCACAATTACAATAAAAGTCAAGGTAGTCATCACATCCGGTTTCGAAGTCCTCCTTTTGTACGGGAAATTCCGACTCGGTACGGACGAAGTACTGCTATTCTCCTCTTTCGATTTGGCTTCCATGTTTTCTAGGAAGTTCCGTCGAATCTGGTCATTCGTCATAGGTCCTTTTTAAATAAACAACTTTTCCATGCTTACCTCAACTAGCCGCCTAAGGTTGACAAACAATCTGACTAAACCTACAAGCCTCTCCTTAGAATGTCGACTGAATCGGATTCGGGCTCCTGGCCTGAAACTTTCTGAGACAGTGAATTCCTTGAAAACAAACTGCACAAGGTGGAACTATGTGATGAAAGTTGGTAAAAGACTCGTTTGAGAGGACACAACTGGCCAGGTCCACTATGTAGACCGCATACGCATTCAAAACCCCGCTACATATTGGATAAAACAGGGTGCAGGGCGCATCCCCAAAGGGGGCTGAACAACTTCAAAAGCATAATCTTTTATTCTTTGTTCGTTTTTATAAATACTGAAAAATACTAAGAGAAAACAGATGGACCTTACTTACTTAAGAAATTCCAAGAAAGTATTTGTGCAGGAAGAAAAATGGTTGAAACTTAATATGAGGATACCTTGGTAAGACGATGATGAAAGGAAAAGAAAAGTCGTCAAATACCTGTTAATCGAGTATTCTGTCGCCTAAGCCTTCGGTGAAATGATACGATATGATTGATTGCCGACTTACTAAGTGAAAAGTCGGTTAATCAGTAACCATTAGTAACGGCGACGTCAATACCAGCGAAATCCAGGTCAGGTCATATCGTAGTCGGGAACATTGAAAAGCAGTCCCCGAAGTAAGTTATCGCACTTAAGGCAGTAAGAGACTTCAGCATTTACCTGTCCCTTGTCCTCTACCTGGATTTAGCGTAAGGCTTGAAAGGGTTTTTGGTTTACATAAAGCTCCAAAGCTTCACTCGTGCACAGAGAGGGATGCGCCCCGCATCCTACTTCCATTCAGAATCGTAGCAACGGTTCAAATGGCCTGTGACCTATACAATGACTTGCGGTAGCGGGGTGACGTGCGGTGCTTCTATCCTCCCAAACAAGTCTGGCACCAATCGACCGACCCTGGAAGAATGGAGGGCTTGGTGGGTCTGTGCGGGATTTGATTCCGGACCATGCGTAAGAGATAGTGCCGATGCTACTTCATCCTATTTTCGTCCACAATCAAACTTATAATTCTTTTTTTATAGTAATTTATGCAATCCCTCTTTCCACATCCGTGGGCCTACATAACTTATTCTGTAGGCCATTTCCGCCATCCTTCAACATTCCAATACTCAGAGGAAGGGTAGACGCGTGGCGCATGCTGGAAATACGCGTTCTTTATACAATATAACGAAGAGCGTTCCAAAACATATTTATTCAAGCAGCACTGAACATATTTGTTACTTCACAATTGATTCATCGTGTATTATAGTTCAAGCACATCCGTAACTATGCACATAGTGAAGAGTATCATAAGCTCATGAAAAATGCAGAGTATCCCATTAACTTTGGAGTGGTTTCTAAAAAGGAATAATTCAATGCGAATATAAATACTACAATCACTGGGCTATTTTAAAGCGATAGAGGCTTCTCTTGCTTATTTGGTTGGACATTTCCTCAAGCTGAGATTGTCGAATGCACGGGTGATAGAGCTGAATTCCATACGGAATCGTTGTAGAGCCGGTTCGAAATCCGCAAAATCGTGAATTACCTTCAAGAACGATACATAATTGATAGAAAGGTGATTTTTCGGTTAGTAGAATTGATACTGAACTATTTGAACTAAAATTAATGAAGGAAACCTTCTTATGTTTTGTCACTTCCAACACCTCATGTGACATATATAGTCAGCGACTTTACTAAGGTAGTTCAAGAGTTCGATTGGCTATTCGCAGACTTTTAAAACCAGTTTGTAGCATAGCTTGTAGCAAATATATAATCACAAACATATAAATAAATAAAAGAAGTGGAAAATAGTTAGAAGTGGAGGTGGTGAGCTCCACCGCTATGGAACGCCTGTCTGAGGTCGAACCCCAGAGTGAATCAATCTATCAGACGTAATCCAAATGAACCTCCTGTTTTCGTCTGTACCAGCATGGTTCAGGTGACTATCTACCTGGAGTGCTCTCCGCAAATCATCGTAAAACCAAATTCGCACTGTTTATGCCACTCAGGAATTATAGCTGAAATACGCAGCGAAGCGTGGATTATAAACAACTACAGTCATTTTCTGAGCATATTTCTGATTCTGCACCAGACCAAAGGTAAATACGCTCCACTAACCAGATAAGGTAGCCCAGTCCTGGTTTGCATAATCGGCTAAGTCTGTTTGTCTTTGTGTTTGTCTGATTTCTGATTCCCAATATTACATTGTTTTGCGGTTTTGGTGAGTAGGACTACGTTGTTTTCCAGGGACAAGCCCCATGGAACATTGCGAAATTACCGGTTGGTTTCGTTAAGGGTGAAAAAAAGGTTCTAACGCCCTTCATCCCTTCATCAGTAGGTACTGCCGTTGTTTTCAAGCCTTTTCGTTATATGTTGTCGAACACTGATGCCATTATATCGGCTGGTAAAATGGTAGTAATTTTGTTAGTTGTGGTAAGAAGTAAATAAAATGAAATGAATAAAGTGGAGGAAAATAAAGTTAACATTGCGGCTGCTGAATTTCCTCAATCCGCTTCGTTATGGAGCCGTAGAGTGAATGAGTTCTAGATTACGTACCTCCACACTCCTCGTGAAAGGATCGTAGGCGACTGTGAATGGGCGTTCAAAGGAGCGTGCGTATTCTCTGAAATTCAACATTGTTTGTTTCAATGAAAAAAAAAATCCAGGAAAGCTATTTATTACAAGTTCGAGGATCATGGCTTTACGTTCAGCACCAGCTCACTTGCACCCATGTAAGCCTATCAAAACTAATACATGACTTCCAATACAAAGGTGGGCTCCACAAAAAAAAAAACAACTTAATACTCGGCTAAGAGGAAGCGACCGTATGTCTTCACTTTGTCAGTGTACCCGTCCTCGGGTGGGGGGCCTGTTGTGCCTGGTTTCGACGTCAGGTGCGGTGTTTTTATCTTGAAGTCGCTGTGCTTATATACCTTAACTTCGACAAAGCGTCCTGAATACTTTGAGCGACAAAATAGAGTGGTTGATAGTCGCTGTCTTCGTATTTCTGTACGGCTGTAGTGGCTGGATCGAATTCACGATGTTCAGGTTTGTCTGAGCAGGCATGCTGAAATCATGGATGAAACGTGACAAATAGCTGAGAGTCATCAAGAAAATCTCTCAGAGGAGAAATTTTTGCGATGTTTAGGGTTTCCCGGCTTACGGCGCACAAATTATTAGTATGAAACCATTTATACCATCAATTCTCCGTAAGCAGAAAGCAATCCAGCGCCAATCGCTTTGTATTTTCCATCTTCTACACACAGTCCGAACTCGATTATAAACCAGTACACCTAGAACACTTCCAGCTCTTCGAAGAAAATGCGAAGAACCTCACTATTATAATTATACTCACGTTTGCCAGCTTTTCTATTTGTTCGTCAGTAGCGCCCAAACTCATCAGACCGATGTCCTGGAAGATGTTAGCGGATATCTAGGCTTAACCGTCTCAGAAAAGGATGTACCTGGCTCATCTGGGCTATCATTGGGTCAGCGAACATTGGCACATGTCCAACTAACTCATGAATCAGATCCGGTTCAGGCGAATGATGTGGTTTACTGCCGTGCCGTAAGTAAGTGGTTGTCTGAAAGCGTAGAAATGAGTCAGAGCAGTACTCTATTGGATGTGTACGTCTGTATTCAGGCTCTCAGGCGGCCCGATACCATTTCTACCTGATTTAAATATGGTAGACTGGGATGGCTCAGTTGAAATAGGAATCAGCTTACTAAAATATTTCTGGAAGCTTATGGCATCACTCCAGTGCATTTGAAAAACACTAACCTGAAACACACGGAATGCTAGGCTTGCCAGAAAATCTCGTGCGGTCAAAAGGCCACTGCATGGGCGAAGAATAAAACCAGTTTTCTCTGAAAGTTCGTAAGATAGTTTGAAACGGTTTCGTATCAAAACGATCATGCTTACTCTGAAGATATTTATTGACGTCTCTGATTTGCGGAATTTGATCTGGGGATAAAACGCCTTCGTCTTCTAAGAGCTTGAGATTCTTCCTGAAAAAGTGATTTTCTAGTCGCTATCCGAGCTACTTGATGCCAATGACGGAAGCTCCTGCTCAGCCAACAGTTTGGTTTACACTCAGCACATCCGAGCATATTGGAAAGGAACTATGCTCACCTGTAAGTGGCACAGGTGTGTGATTCATGGAGTTCGCGAAGCTTTTCGTAGACTATTCTCCATGTCTCGTGTTCCTCTTTCGTGTATTCTACATATGGAATTGGTTCACCGCTTAAATGTTCAAAAATTTTCGACTTGAGACTATTAAACTGAGAAAATTCCTGGTCCTTCACTATCTGAAAATGCCTGACGAGTGCAACGGCTGACAGCTGTACAGCAATGAATGGTAGAACGAAACGAAAACATTTTTGTGCAAAATAGCTATTCTCAAGTAACTTTCTACAGCGCCCTTCAAAATTCAGGATATTGCCCAATCGTATAGACAACGTTGAAATGAGACTTAAAGGCACAGTTCACGATAATTTAATGGGCGGGAACGTAAATGGCTTTCCTCGATCGATGTCACGTCATCACGTCAGGCGAGTATCGAGACAATACATTGCAACTATTCGTTCTAGGACCCACACACAATCAGCTAGTCACCGAGTGATGAGGCGGTGTTTTTCTCCCATTCTTATTCCCCCTGTTATTCTTTTCGCTGAAGCGCTCCGTTATTTAAATTCCTACTCCTAGAGGCTGAAAAAGGTGAGCTACTTTTGCTGTTACTAGGGTTTTTTTGTTTACTCATGCTTATAAGTGAATGATTTTTTGCTTACCATAGTCTGTTATTCGTACAAGGACCCACACCTACGCAGTGACACATTGTGTAGCTCGTCCAGACGCCCCACTAGTCTTCATTTTTTTGGTAACATTCTCGTCTAGCCCCCTTTTAAGCGGTTTTTCGAAGCCTTTTTTCACTTTGGGAACACCAATTCACGCAGTTTCTTCCCATTCATCGCTCTATTTTCGATCTCGTCTTCCATTTTTCATCTTAATCTTTATTACCCAGAATTATCGTGAACTGCGCCTCTGATGCTAATGTCGTGTACAACCTACATACCCAATCTCAACCTATTGGTTGGCCAGAAGAGGACGTCATACCTCCAATAACAATTCAAGCTCTGTTTCTTGGATTCATCAACACCCTACTTCTGAATTATTCATAACTAGAACAAAGAAATCAAAATGCTTACTGTCTGTATTCCAATGCTTGATCGTTGAGGAATTTTCGCCTTGCGATGTAGGCGGGATCACCGTGACCCTGAATAAGAGGTTCCAAATGATTACATTGTAGTGGGTAATTTCAAAATATATGGGTGTGTGCCGATTCGTGCGATTCTGGGTGCGCGCGGCAAATTGCGCGGCGGAATTCGTGAAGATTCGAACGGCTCTGACGCCTATTATTGGGGCACAAACTTGAAGTAGAATAGTTGGGTATGGTCAGCTGATCCTACTAATCCACTCTACTTCAAGTTTGCGCTCCAATAGTAGGCGTCAGAGTCGTTCGAATCATCATGAATTCCGCCGCGCAGTTTGCCGCGCGAC